CTTCCCTTCCTTTCTCCTCCCTCCCCTTCCTTCTTTCTTTTCCTTTCCTTTCCCTTCTCCTTTCCCTTTCCCCCTCCCTCCCTTCCTTCCCTTCTTCCTTCCTCCTTCCCTCTCTCCCTCCCTCTCTCTTTCCTTCTTTCCCTCCTTCCTTCCTTTCTCTCTCTCTCTTCCTTCCTTCCTTTCTCTCTCTTTCATTCTCTCTCTCTCTCTCTCTCTCTCTTCCTTTTTTTTTTTTTTTGACCCAGGCTTTCGCTCTGTCACCCAGGCTGGAGTACAGTGGTTCAGTCACGGCTCACTGCACCCTCCACCTCCCACCACCAGTTCAAGTGGTTTCTCCACCTCAGCCTCCTGAGTAGCTGGAACCCAGGCACGCCACCACACCCGGCTAATTTACATTTTTTGCATAGAGAGATAGGGTTTTGCCATATTGCCCAGGTTGGTCTCAAACTCCGGCTAATTTTTACATTTTTTGTAGAGATAGGGTTTTGCCATATTGCCCAGGTTGGTCTCAAACTCCCGGACTCGAATTATCTGCTCGTCTTGGCTTCCCAAAGGGCTGGGATTACAGGCGTGAGCCACCGCACCCAGCTCATTCTGAGTTTCTTAATCTCTGTGGGCATTGTTGGCATCAAGGGACAGATAGCTCCTCCACGAGATGGAGGATAGTGCCCCTCCCAAGCCATGATGACCAAAAATGTGTCCAGACATGGCCAGATGTCCTCAAGGGCACATTATCACCCTGATTGAGGACCACTGCTGTAGGGTATTCTGTGTTATGAATATGTCATGAATTTTTTATCCACCTATCATGGCCACTTGGGTTGTTTCTAGCAGTTGACTATCATGAATTGAGCTGCTATGTGCATTTGTAGACATGTTCTTGGGTGGATGTACACATTCATTTCTGCTGGATGTCCAGGATGGAATTGTTGGATTAAGAGGCAGGCATATATTTAGCTTTAAGAGATACTGCCAAACAGCTTTCCACAGTGGTTGTAGCAGTTTGCACTTTCACCAAGTGCATGGGTATTCCAGTTGCCCCACATCTTTACCAATAACACTGAATTTTTTTCTTTGCATTTCCCAGAGGTTGACATTTCGACATATGGGTCTTGGCCATTGGGACATCCTCTTAAAGAAGTTCCTATTCAAGTATTTTGCTCATTTTTTCCTATAGGATTATCTGCCTTTTTCTTATTGATTTGTAGTAACTCTTTATATATGATGGATAAGATTCCTTTGTAAGATATATATATTGCAGATATCTTCTCTCACTCTTTAAACTCACAGACTTTTAGAACCAGGGGCACTCTGTGTTTCCCACATCAAATACCCTGGTGCACATGACTGCCATTGCTTAACTGTACTTTTTGCAAGACAGTGAATTTCATAAGAGCAGGGCTGTGTGTCTGATCTGTTCACCCTAGAACTCCCAGCACAGAGGGCTTAGCGCTGAGTGGGTACAAAAGAAATATTTGTGGAATGAAAGTATGAGCAAACCTCCCATTGGGATTTTTTTTTCTTTGTAGTCTAAAGCTTCCACATGTTTTAGTAGTTATTGATTCCCAGGCAACCACAGTAAAAAGCAGAGATTGAGGCACAAGCCTGCTCCCTTGCCCCCCGCCTGAGGGTGGCAGCCAGCTCCTGAGTCTGTCTGTCATTCCCCTGCCAGTTGGAACTCTGCCCACCTGCACCTGCCCTGAGGGAGGCGGGGTCTCTCCCAGAGAAGTCACATTTTAATTAACTTCCCCGGCAGTCACTGGAGAGGCCGGATCATTTTCATAAACAAATGAGAGGCCAGAGCTTTGTCTGTAACTCAGAGAGCATAGTATGGAAGGAATTCAAAACAAGCCACCCTGCAGGGTCCCCATGCACCCACCTGAAACTCAGAGCTCCATCACTCTTGAGGGACAGTGGGGTCTGGGATTTGAGATGGAAAAGAAGAGGGAGAAAAATGATCAACTGTTGTGTAGACAAGAGCCGATGGTCTCAAAGTAGGCTGGATGAACTGCATGTCTGTGTACCCCTAAAATTCAAAACCTAACTTTGGATGAGATGGCATTAGCAGGGGGGTCTTTTAGGAGACAATTAGGTCATGGAAGCAGAGCCCTCATGATGGAATTTGTGCCCTTAAATGAAGAGGAAGAAAGCTAACTCTCTCTTTCTGCTCTCTGCCACGTGAAGATATAACAAGAAGGCGGCCATATGCAAACCAAGAAGAGAGCCCTCACCAAGACATTGGGTCTGTTGGTTTCTAGATCTTGGACTTCCCAGCCTCCAGGACTTTGATAAATAAATGTCTATTGTTGAAGCCACCCAGTCAATGATAATTTGCTATGGCAGCCTGAGCTGACGAAGACATAGTCTTCTTCCACTCATTTCTTCAACCCCTATTTATTAGCATCTGTTCTACACTGAGGCTTGGGAAAAGAAGAGTGAGAGTAAAGATTCACGGGGTATACAAAAAATCTCCATACCTTCTGCTCACTTCTGTTGTGAACCTAAAACTTCTGTAAAATATAAAGTCCGTTTTTTAAAAATAACCTTAAAAAATAAAGATTGGATCCCTTTCCTTGTGGGGCTCACAGGCTCATGAGGGAAGACAGACATTAAACTGATCATTATGCAATGAATGACTTAAGTACAGTACTTTGTAATTTTATTTGAGATGTAATTCACATTCCCTACAATTCACCCATTTAAAACGTAGAATTCAATGGCTTTTAATATATTCACAGAGTTGTGACACCATCACCGCAATCGTTTTTAAAACATTTTCATCACTCCCCAAAGAACGCCCCTTAGCCATCACAGCTACAATCATTCCATCCCTTCCCCCACCTGTCCCCAGCCCTGGCAACCACGAAGCTACTTTCTGTCTCTGGATTTGCCTGTTCTGGACATTTCATGTAGATGGAATCATGCAGGATGCGGCAGCGCTCTGTGTCTGGCTTCTCAGCATGATGTCAACTCCATCCACACTACCACGGGTACTACCCTGTCATTTTGTAAGTGCCGTGAAGGTAGGCTGAGGCCGCTGTGGTGCCACCATATAATAAGGAGGCTTGTCTAGGACTGATGCAATCTGGGAAGGCTTCCCAGAGGAAGTGGTTTTTAATATCAGGCATTTATTGTGCACCTGCTGTGTGTCAACAGGAAAAAGAAGGTAATAGGAGCCATGGCTCTGGCTGGATAGGAGTGTGTAATCCAGGCAGGGGGGTCTGCATGTGCATTCATGGAAACTGAGACGGTGGCAAGTTCTAAGCCCCAAATGAACAGAATAGATAGAGTCACTGGCATTCAGACGAGGGTGAGCCATGGTGAACCCAGGGGTCCCAAGAGCTTCTGACAGAGACAGGACTTGAAGAATAAGGACCAGTAAGGGTGGGCCTTGAGGAAAGAGCAATGGAGGCGGCTGGGATGCCTGCGGTCCTTCAGACAAGGGGGGAGTGGGTTCGTCTGTCTCAACAGGGGGGCCATAGGGGAGTCTGGGAGGCAAAGCCACAGGGCTGGGCGGGGTTGGAGGGTGCAGGACCTGGACTGCCAGCTGAGGGAGGGGTTTATTCCAGAGGCAGCGACGAGCCACGCTGGGTGGTCCTTGACCATCTCTCTACCTCTCAGCACCCAACCTTTGGGAGCTGGAGAGATGGGGATATAGACGAGATGGCAGGAGACAGTGAGGCCAGAGCCTACCAGACCCTCTGGACAGTCTTTGGTGTGGCCAGAGTGGAGAGATCCCAGGAAATGTAACACCCTGTGACTTTGAGTCCACAGCCTGTGGCCTGCGGCCTGTGGCCTGTGGGAGGAGCAGCGGAGCCTACCCTTCTCAGTAATGGCCCCGGGGCCTGCTGGCACCAGGGAGCCCCAAGAAGCTGGGGCTGTGGGCATTTCTTTGGCTTGTGGATCTGAGCATGAGCTGGGGGCAGCCAGCCTGGGTTCCAGTCCCAGCTGTGCTACTTCCTACTGCTTGACCTGAGGCAACCTGTCGGATCTTTCTGTGCCTCAGCTTCCCCCTGAGAAACGGGGATGGTAATGAGACCTGCCTCACTGGGTGGCTGTGCAGACGGCATGAGGGAAGGCCAAGGAACCCCAAACATCGTGCCTGGGATGCAGTCAGAACCCAGCAAGTGCCCATCGATGCAGCAGGTGTGATGGGGTTTGCAGCACTGTGCAGGACAGGGCCTCTGACCTCGAGGAGCTGCTGTGCTAAAGGGAGACCGTGTGGCAGGATGATCAAGAGCGCCAGCCAGGAGGACGGGCACACCTCCATGCGATGCCCTGCCCAGCCCTTGGGGACCGGGGATATAGACCCTGCCTCTCTAGGCCTCAGTTTCTATAGCTATAAATGGGTGGTGGGTGGGGGGCGTCTAATGTGGTTGATGACAGGGCAATTTCATTTGTACAAACCACCTCTGAGAGGCCAAGGAGTTCCCTAGAGTCGCAGGGAGTAAGGACAGCTGGCCAGGTGCAGATGGGTGGCAGTGGCCCTGTCACTGTGTCTTCCCTAGGTGAGCATTCGAGGAAGTGACTTCCTCAGTGATGATGGTTTGAGTGGTCCTTGGTGTGAGGAAGGTGGGAATGAAGGTAGGGAAGAGGTCTCCTTCCCTTGACGGGGCCTCCAGATGAAGCCTCCCGAACTGGGTCTTTCATTTCCGGCTTGAGCCAGCCAGATCTAGGCTCCACCCCAAACACAGCTGCCCAGCCCAGGAACTGTACCTCCCCACTCCAACAATACAGATGTGCCGAGAGGCCTCCCATCTCCGACGTCCTCATTTGCCTTCAGCACAGACACGCGGACCCGCTTCTGCTGTGTGACCCTGTGCCAGCCGCAGCCTGCGCTCCTCCCAGGGAGGGCTCTGCCACCCACTCCTGTGCCGCCCCGAAGGTTGCAGCAGGGCCTGGGGCAACGCAGGCATCTGGTGCCTCCCTGCCGCCGGATTATAATACGGTTGGTCTGAGACTCCACTCCTCACCTCTGCTCTCTGTCCTTCCCCCGACAGGCTGAACTCGGCAAGCCCCGGGAAAGAAGCTACAGTCTGCCTGGCATTAATTTTAATTACGGACTCTACATCCGAGGGCTTGATGGAGGAGTCCCTGAAGGTGAGCGAGCAGCTTTGGAGCATGAGGGCAGAGGAGTGGGCGGGAGGTTCACCCCTTTTCACAGAGCCCTTGACCTAGCTCGCTGCTTGGCAGCTGGTTGGGTGCTGGAGAAAGACCCAGGGACCGCCAGCCTGGGCAACGGAGTGGTAAAACCCAGGAAGTGGCCCAGACGGGGAGGGTCGAGCAGGGCCCTGGTGTGCGATGTCAGGGAACTAGCATGGGCACCCGCCCCCTGGCAGGGACTGTGGGCACCGTGCTGCTCAGGTTACAAGTACAGTGAGCCTGGGACCAACCCTCTGCCTGCCCAGAGGAAGTCAAGGGCCAGGCCAGCCCAGCTCCAGGGAAGATGCTTGACTTCGGTACGCTCTGGGATCTCTGGGAGCCCTGATCCCACCCTTTTGGGCCATCATGCTTTCTGGGGGCCAGGCAGGGTTGTCACCCAGCAGGCTCAGGTAAATGGGAAGGCCGGGGACCCGCGTGCCCCTATTTCTCCTTGATCAGCTGCCTCAGGGTGCTTACTCCCAGGCTGACCACTGCCCCGTGGGTCTCTCCCTGCCTTCAGCCATCGGACGCTGGAACGTGTTTAAGCAGCAGCCCACCTGCCCCCACGAGCTGACCCGGAATTACATCGCAATGAACCGTGGGGCGGTGAAAGCCGGCCTGGTGACTGCCCAGGAGAACTTGCTCTACCATCAGCTCAACGACATCCGCATCAGTGACCAGGATGACCGGCGCCTGAAGAAGGAGCCGCCCCCTCTCCCTCCAAACATGACATTTGGGATCCGGGCACGGTGAGGTGGCTGGCAGCCAGGGCTTCATCCCTTGAGGGGTGGGGGTACCAGCTGAATCAGGGACAAGGTCGGAGGCTGACAGGGAAATGGAGCATCCTGCCAGCCCCACTCTCCTCTCCCCAATGACTGTCTCTTGTGTGACTTCTGTAGCCACACCCTGAATCCTGCTGAGCTGGGTCCTGGCCTTACAGCGGGTACCCTGTAGGGCTGTGCACAGGTCACCCACTTTCCCTTGATCAACAAACAGTGACTGAGACCTGTCCCTGGACCAGGCCCAGTGACTCATCTCTGTAATCTTAGCACTTTGGGAGGCCCATGTGGGAGGATCGCTTGAGTCCAGGAATTGGAGACCAGGCTGGGCAACGTGGCAAAACCCCGTCTCTACAAAAAAATTTTAAAAATTAGCTGGGCATTGTGGCATGTGCTTATAGTATCAGTTACCTGAGGGCTGAGGTGGGAGGATTGCTTGAGCCCAGGAGGTCGAGGCTGCAGTGACCCGTGATTGTACCACTGCACTCCAACCTGGGCAACAGAGTGAGACCCTGTCTCAAAAAAAAAAAAAAAAAAGGCCTGTCTCTGTCTTCATGGGGCAAGAGAGGGGAGAGCCTGCCAAGTTACCCAAGCACAGCACCACCCTAAGGAAGCCACGAGAGAGGCTCTGGAGCCTGGGCTCAAACCTGGACTCTGGCCATGACTGGCCGTGGGATCCTTGCCCCAGCTTCCGCATCTGTAGAATGGAGATAAGAGCAGCACCTGTTTCGCCGTATGCTGAGGTTTCAGTGACGTAACGCATACAAAAACCTGAGCACAGGGCCTGGCCTACAGAAGGTGCTCAATAAATGTTAGCTAGTGTTCATGTTAAGATATGATGTAATGTGAGTTGTAGATCCATGAGCTATGAAATTTTTAAAATTTTTTATTGAGGCAGTAAAAGGCACAAATCATGGAGTGTTCAGCTTAATGCAATTTTACAAATGGACACACTCAAGTAACTACCACTAAGATAAAGATATAGAATAAATCCGGCACCCCAGAAAGTTCCGGCACACCCCTGAGAAAACAGTTCTATTCGATTCTTCCATCCCCTGAGAAATGATTGTCCGGTGGCCCCACTGTCACCACAGGTTAGATGACTGGCATGCACATCCCAATGGGTCCACATCCTCACCATTGTCAACAAGGGCACGACTGGCTTGGCGCTTAGATCAGCTCCCTAGTGCTAATGAGGGCCCACAGGCCACACACAAGTAAATGGAGGGAGATGGGGGGACACCAGCAGAAGAGCCACACGTCCCATCCAGTCAATGCCCCGTCTTCTTCTGACTGTCCTATAGAAACCAGCCAACTGCTCTCTCTTCTAACAGAATTGGCCCGTCCCAAGCCACCTTCCACGTTACTCTAGAGTTATCTTGCGAACACACAGATGAAATGAGCCAGATGTGACCCATGTTCCAACCCTGGCACACAGGACATTCTATAAAAGCAGAACGTAGTTGCGTTTAATCAAAACTCACTCATGGCTCACGTGATTGGAAAGTGCAGGGATGACTTCAGGCATAGCAGGATCTAGACAGTCAGGCAACGTCATCAGCAACAGGTCTCTGTTTCTTGGCCGTGCTTCCTGATTTTGGCTCCATTCTCTGAGACGCTTCTTCCTCACCTGCAAATGGCCAGCAGCAGTTCTATTCTGGTTTTCTCTTAACAGCCCAGTGCAAAGGGCATTGGTGTGACCTTGAGTTCAAGACTCTTTGGGCCAGCTCGGGGTTACATGACCTTTTTTTTTTTTTTTTCCCAGACAGTATCTCTGTTTGTCCCCCAGGCTGGAGTGCAGTGGCACCGTCTCGGCTCACTGCAACCTCTGTCTCCCTCCCAGGTTCCAACGATTCTGCTGCCTCAGCCTCCCAAGTAGCTGGGACTACAGGTGTGCACCACCACGCCTGGCTAATTTTTGTATTTATAGTAGAGACGGGGTTTCACCATGTTGGCCAGGCTGGTCTTGAACTCCTGGCCTCAGGTGATCCACCCGCCTTGGCCTCCCAAAGTGCTGGGATGACGGGTGTGACCCACGGTGCCCGGTTACATGACTATCTTCTACTCAACCGCTGTGGCCAGGGCTGAGGTGCCAGGCCTGGGTCATGTGTCTGCCTCCGAGCCAATGGCTGAGGCCAGGGGAATCGGAAGCCTGACTGGCCTGGTCTGCCAGGGGAATCGGAAGCTTGGCTGGCCTGGTCTGATGATGCACCCTTTCCTGGAGTCAGGGGTGAAATCAGTCCCTGCAATCCACATGGGCTGATGGTGGAAAAGACGTACAGACCAGGGTTCTGTTCCAGGAGGGGAATGGATGCCAGGCAGGCAGCAGGACTGTCCAGCCCTTTCCACATCACGGCACAAGCTGGTCATTAGTACAAAAATGACCAATATTTGTGCATTGCACCGAACAAATAAATAGAAGCGACTGCTCCCAGACAGTAGTGGGCTTCTTGCTATCTGGAGCCCTGTTCAGTGGCCTGTGACTGACAGAGCCAACATCTTAGCCCATCTGTGTGGCAGCATCCAGGCCGGACCTCATTCAAGGCCATTGACATTCCATCCCTAGCCTGTCGTTCCAGTCTCCCCTCTTGCCTCTCCTGGACTAGGTGCCTTCCTCTGACTGCGCCATCATATATATATATATATATATGTGTGTGTGTGTATATATTTTTGGGTGGTAGTTCCTTCTTTTTTATTTTTTCTAATTTTTTATTGTGGTAAAATATACATAAGATTTATCATCTGAACTATTTTTAAGTATACAATTCAGTGGGAGCGATTACATTCACGTTGTTGTGTGACCATTACCACCATCCATCTCAAGAACTTTTTCATCCTTCCAAACCGAAACTCTTTCCCTATTAAACACCACCCCCCAGCCCCCGGCACTCACCATTCTACTTTCTGTTCCTATGAATTTGACTACTCTAGAGATCTCATATGAATGGAATCATGCAACGTGTGGCTTTTTGTGTCTGGCTTATTTCGTTTATTGTAATATCCCCACGGTTCATCCATGTTATAGCGTGCATCCGAATCTCATTCCTTTTCAAGGCTGAGTCATGTTCCCTGTGCGTATAGACTGCGTTTGGTTGACTCATTCATCCACTGATGGACGTTTAAGTTGTCTCTACCTTTTGGCTATTGTGAATAATGCTGTTGTGGAGGTGGATGTACCCCTGTCTGTTCCAGTCTTGCTTTCAGTTCTTTTGGGTGTAGACCCTGTAGTGGGATTATGGGATCAGGTGGTAATTGTGTTTTAAGTTTCTGGGGACCCGCCACGCCGCTGTCCACAGCATGTGCTGTGTATGCCCTTGTATGCTTCTCCCAGCATCCTACTCGTGGGAAAGAACCCTGAGGGGAATGAGTCGGTGGGAAAACCTACGCATTCTTCAAAGTTCAGCTCAGCATCGCCTCTTTGGTAAGTTTTCCACCTCTCATGGCCTCAGGCATGTCTGTCTCCAGAAATGCATTTCTATGCACCAGCCCTGAAACCAGGAAGGTGACACTAGAGACACATTGGAAAGTCACTTCGGGGCTGGATTAATGAACTCCTGTACATCATCCTCCCTGTACCTTTGAAATCGTCCCCCAGGTGGGTCCCCCAAGGCATCTCCTGTGACTTTTGCTGCTGACCCGACTTCTCTTCTCAGCTCTCAACACATGTGCCCTCCCTTGCCCTGTTCTTACAGGCTGCCTGCGGCAGAGAGGAGCCCCTGTTCCTGGTCCGTGCTGTGCACTAGATTACTAGATCAGTCCATGCTGGTGACCAAGTGTCTCAAACACAGCGTGGTGGCAGGAGAGGGGCCCTGGGCCGGGAGTTGGCCTGGGATGCTAGTTCCAGCTTTGTCACCAACTCTCCACATCACATTCCCCCCCAGGGCTTCTGTTTCCCCATCTGTAGACAGGGGGCTGCACTAGTAACACACATACTCATCACAGCACTCTGTGATTCTCAGGCTATGTTGTGCCTCCTCAGCTTGGCTCTAAAGCTTCATGCCTAATTATTTTCATGGTCATAAAAACCCTGTACCAGAGGTGGGCAGGATTCCTGTCCAACTGAGGCAGGCAGAGGTTAATTGACCTCCCCAAGTTCACACAACCTCTTCATGGCAGGGCTTGGCCTGGATTCTCAACCTTTAGTATGTTTATATTTAAAAATAGAGCCACGCGCAGTGGCTCACGCTTGTCATCCCAGCACTTTGGGAGGCTGAGGCGGGTGGATCATCTGAGGTTCGGAGTTCAAGACCAGCCTGGCGAATATAGTGAAACTTCGTCTCTACTGAAAATACAAAACAGAGTCTGGCGTGGTGGCGTCCATCTGTAATCCCAGTGACACAGGAAGCTGAGGCACGAGAATTGCTTGAACCTGGGAGGTGGAGGTTGCAGCGAACCAAGAACATACCACTGCACTGCAGCCTGGGTGACAGAGTGAGACTCTATCTCAAAAAAAAAGAAAAAGAAAAATAGAGAAGATTGGAACACAAAGGACACTGGGGATCACCTGGTTCAAAGCCCTTATTTAAAACAGGAGAAAATAGAAAGAAGTTCAGAGAGGTGAAGAGAGCTTCCCAAGGTTGCACAGCGATTTGTTAACTGAGCCAGGTCTGGAGTCCAGTTGTCAGGCTCCCCATCCAGTGCTCCTCACTCTGTGTCCTACTTCCTTGGAACCAACGTGCAGCCGGAACACCCACAGCTTCTCATCCTGGGGCCGGGGTCAGCTGAGCTCAGAAAGGACAAGCACTATCATCCAGCTCTCAATACAGAATCTTAAATTGCTATAAAACCGAGTGGCCACAATTCCAGGGAACGGACGTGATGAAGTGCTGGCTATATCCTCTGTGATGGTAAATGGGCTTTGCATATGCAAATTGAATGGATTTTAAAATGGTATTTAATGACAATTTTCGTAGCAGACATTAACATTAATTGCACAAAAATGAAAATGCTGCATTAGGTTGCTGTTAGCA